ACCTGTCATAATAGACTGCATAATACATAACCTGTCTCAAAAAATTTCACTTATCGTTTCAATAATTCTTTTACTTCTATTCCCTATTCAGTTTCAAGAATTTTTCTGAACGGAATTGTAACCTGTGTCTTCAAAATGTGTATAACGTAAAGCAACTAACGAACATGGAGACATCCGAAAGACCATTGAAGTCTTAAACTTAGATTAATTCCAACAAGAATGATTAGTCTATAAGTGTTGCCAGAATTCAATTCACAGAATCTTAGGGATATTTGATCCACTGACTGGAATTTAGTTAGCTTAGTTGTGTGAATACTCGGTTTTTCACAGGAGATCAATATTTTTCTGTCCTATTTATTACAAGTAAGTTGATGCGCAGTAGCTTGTTTAAAAGCAAGTGATAAAAAGCGAAATTTATCCTTTCATATAGATTAGATACGTAAATAATCTTTGAGCATATGTTTACAAATATTGTCAATTTTTGATTAAGCTTCCTGTCGTATCAACAAGAAACGTTGGACACAGTAGTTTGGTCGATTTCACGTTTATTTTTAGAGCGATAGACACTGAATTCGAATCTAGAATATAATACCACAACACAGCAGACACATTCAGTTAACGATCCCCGGATTCAACGAAAACTAGTCCTAAATATCATTGACAGCTATAATTCAAATTTTCATCATATTTCTTTATCGAGGCTATTGTCTCGAAAACCACATATGAATGAAAGGATGGGTTAATTTCAACACCGAGAAAATACAAACGCTTTAAACTGCCAATAGAAAATCCACTTGACATTGTTCACCTGAATCTTCCCATTGATTTTTAGGACTACAATTGGTCAGTCTCTTATTGGCATATGTGCATACTGTGCGTATTTCCTCGGTATTGCCTTAATTCACAAGTATTACAAGTAAAGATGGATATTAACAAGCAGTGGCGTTTGCAGTGAGCGGTATTGGGATGGAGTCCCAGGGTGAACACCAAATATGAGATACAGATACGTCCAACTGATGAGTCCCAAATAGGATGAAACGTGCGTCCTGGGTTGCACTGCTAGTCACTATCCATCTTTGCTTATCAGTAGAAAATTTTGAGCTTAGATAAATAAGATGATGGAGCATAAAATGTATAACTATTTGGAATTATATTTAAGCAAAAAGGGTTTTTCCATCTTATGGTTTCCCTCCATAATCTGTCTTCTGATGGTACCGAATATGGTGAAATCGGTGTTGTTGGAAAGCGTTAACCGTAATTCTAACCGATAAGAACTAGTCATAAAAGTATTGTTTACAATCTGGAAAAAATTGTTTCATTACATATTCGAATGCTGATAAATTTCTACTCTAATAACTGTTGCTACGTTGTTGCTACCTATTTACCATATTCTATACGCTACTTCTACACTTGAACTTGAACGATAAGGATAAGACACAAAACATAAATAAAAGCTTTACTCTGAGGTTCATTTATGTACAGGTTACAAGCTTATTTGTAGGCTTATTGTCAACTGCCAGACTAGAAACTTCTGGAAACATAGAAAGTTCGGTAACAGACTTATTAATCATCCAATCATAGTTTAGCACATTCAATCAACTTTTTTAAAGATTTTCGTGACTTATACCAATTAGACGAAGTGCTCTTAGCCTTTTCTTGGCTTCTGAAAATCTTAACGAGAATATCTCATTGCATCCCAACAAATAAACTTATCTTTCTTTACAGAAATTCAAAATGGTTTCAGGCTCCCAAATCATAGTTAAATGGATGAGTCAAATGTTTAATACGAAATATTCACTCCGAATTTAGTGTCAAACAAAGTGATTTACTTATGATATGATCAATGTTAATAACATTTAACATGTTCATACACCCGTTTACCCTCCATATGTAATGAATGATAGATGTAAAATTGTAATTCAAATGAATCATTATGAAAAAGCATGGTGCAAAATACTTCGGATCCATTGGCCGGACACTATTAGCAACAACCTACTGTGGGAAAGAACAAACCAGATCCCAGCAGAGGAAGAAATCAGGAAGAAGCTCTGGAAGTGGATAGGACACACATTGAGGAAAGCACCCAACTGTGTCACAAGACAAGCCCTCACATGGAATCCTCAAGGCGAAAGGAAAAGAGGAAGACCAAAGAACACATTACGCCGAGAAATGGAGATAGACATGAGAAAAATAAACAAGAATTGGATGGAAATAGAAAAGAAGGCCCAGGACAGAGTGGGTTGGAGAATGCTAGTCGGCAGCCTATGCTGCATTAGGAGTAACAGGCGTAAGTAATTAAGTAAGTAAGTAAACGAAATGTTCAGATAGTTTTTATTATTATAGATATAATGGTATTCTTCATTAAAGAATCCTTAATTTTATACATACACATTGTAGTTCTAAATCACTTTTATATTTCTGAAAGGTAATCTTAAAACAAATCACTAGTTTTATTGAATATACTTACTTGTATACAAAAGTGTTCATGCATTAAATCACTTGAATTCGATCGATTTTTTTTAGTTTATTCTCACTTAAACAAATGTAACCCATTTTTGTGATTTCCCTCAAAATATATTGATTAATTTTAAGGTCATAAGGAAGACATAATATGTTGACCTTATTTTCGTAATAGAACATTATAGATTTAATCAATTTTTATTTATTTTAGTTTTGGGAAATTTTCAAGGATTATAAAATGTAAAGGTTGTATTGTTTAAAAAAAATAGTTTATATTAAAGAAATGTTGACATACTGTGTAACTTGTTCTTTTTCTCCTTTTAGCAATTCATTTGACAGTTGCTATAGCCGTTATATACTAATGGTCACAGTAACCATAATATTTTTTAAATGTTTTAAGGGTTTTCTGTAAGTAAAATGATTTTAACAAGAAAAAAAGGTTTATTATGATGTTTTTACTTTTGAACACTTTTTGAATCGTTAAACTGAAAAAAAAAGTTTTACAGAGTTGAAATACAAAACTAATAAACAGTTTTAGTATTTAATGATACTTTAAGAGGTTAGTATGTTGAGCATAGAAAGGCTTATAAGATATCTTATTCAACCATATTCTACAATAAGAAGACCAGTATTAATGAAATGTAGAGATAGCTTACATTATGAGCTAACATTAGTTGGAAAACCGTTGAATACTTGAGAATACTGAGTGGAGATTTTTACTATAGTTTTTAACTACTTAGCCATGCACAAATACAAACATGTCAGGGATCGAATTCAAAACCTTCAAGTATGACAACAAGTGTGTTGACAATAAACTTCAAAAGTTTATATTTTCAATTCCAGTTATTATGTGATTGAGTGTGAAAAACATTTGATGTCATCAGTAAGTAATTGTCTTACACTTGATATGATCACACCTCTTCAGTCATGGCTCCTCAATGCAACTTCGGTAACTAATCTTGCAGTTAATTACTAGTGACTACATGTCAGCGGATTTGTGGAGACCAGCTCAATTTCTCTTCCTCACGAACTAGCACCAGCCGAATAGTCATGAAATTCTAAGTACAGGAAGGTAGAATGTATACTGAAATTAAACTAATCTTCATAAAGTTGCTCAGCCTAATAATTGTGAAATATTGCATTTTAAGAAAGCGAATTTCCTAAACATCAAGAATATTAATTAATTCACAACGATTAGAGACGATTATACACTTGTGTTTACAGTAATATATAGTAAATATAAAAATGTTTATTTATGAAGATTTCTTTTCTTACAAGCAATTTACAAGAATAGTCCAATACTAGTAAACTAAATATTCAACGTGAAATACACTCTGTAAGATTTAGTACTCAACCAATTTTTAGTTAAAACGTAGATGGATTCTACTATTTTCATTAAGTAGAATGCTATGGTACGGCCGAGTATGGGGGGAGTCAGCTCCCCCACTCGAAATGCTCTCTCATGGCTACGTGGATACAGCCACTCACAACGAAGTCCTACTCACACAATTCTCTTCACGGAGGTGTTGTTTACGAAATTGAAAGAACGAAAAGCGAATGTTTGGTGCTTTAACTGGGTTGGTGAATACAGAGAGTTCATCTAGAGGAGTTGGAAAACCCTTATTCCAAATCAATGGTGCACAAGGACTCCAGTATCCTGAGGGAACAAAAGGTGTATTAACCTATTATTGGTCACCGGCTACCATGGGAGTGCATCTCTTGACGTTGCTCCACTGCCTTATGGATCAGACCTTTAGGTACAAGACTCCAGGTGTGGCCACTCAATCTGGATCACAGCCCACACACAAATTAAGTGACTTGTGTGTCACATATGTATTCGGCGTACCTTTGTACCAATATTTATGTGTTCAAATGAAATACTAAAATAAATAAATAAAAATACAAAAACAAAAGAGATTGCCTTCTTTAGATCTAATATGATTATCATTGTTAACTTGTCACTTTACTACATTAATAGTAATGATAATTAGAATACATACTCATTAAATCGATACATCATCTCAGTGTACTTTCATACCAATTTTCAACTATATTTCAAGAAAATTAATTTGATTCCTTATTCATTTCAATGGTAAATCGTTCGAATTATCTTAATGGTGACAAATAAAATAAATCTTTTTTTATAAAGAAAAAAGTTTTGTTTGTAAAATTCTCTTCTTTAAAATGATTTTTTTTTGCAGGAAAGTACAATATTCATTAATTAATAGTTACCACGTGCTTTTTATACAGGATACAATTGATAAGTTTGTTCATATTGTTATGATTAAAGATTGATTTTTTTTTTAAAAAAAAAAGCATATTAGATTTGTTACTAGAGGAATGAAGTGTATTTTGTAAATATGGGAAAAATAAATAACTCATTAGTTTACTTTTTACATTATTGTGCACAAATAAAGTTAATTTAGAATACAGTTTATTTGAAAGACAGTTCAATAAAGTGATGCTTCAACAATGTGATTCAGTTACTGACATTGTATTCATATCTTCATTGTTTATAAAGCGGATTATTATCATTAGTATTATTCTGGTTTTGATGTTGAACAATCAAATATAGTCCATCTTCTTTTACTGCTTATCTCATGTAAGTTTTTTGATTTCTACAAAATTCAATAGAGTATAAAGATAAATAGAGAAAAAATATTTTAAAACATGACAATAATAATATGAAATGATTCTTTACATAAATTGAATGAGTCTAATTGCCGTTATTAGTTTTCAAATACTCAAAATCAGCAGTTTTAATATTTAGAATAGATAAACTTGTGGAGATTGAACAATTTTTTTTAGTTCAAAACACCAACTGGTTTTCTCTAGAGCACCATTGGAAACTTGAAAGGACTGGAGAGTCGTTTCGTCTCAATATTGGACACTTCAGGAGTACACATCCACTACTCCTAATCCGTAACTCAAAAATACAAGAAGGCCGTGATAATTGGAGTTCAGCCATATCTAGTGTGAGACGCTTATCCACTGTGGGCAATAGATGAGGGTAGTTCAATAGCGTGAACTAAATTGTTGTTAATTTATAGAATGTGTACTGTCAGCAAATTTGTTTTTAATTTTTTATGTTCAGTGAATACATTTTCCCAGATGCTTTCACAATAGAACACATTTTATTTTCCTATAAATTTTCAGTTGAATACAGAAAACCATGGCAAACGAGATCACAGTACAATGTTCTATTTGTAACCTCAGCACAAGTACAACCACATGACAAGTCCATTGAGTTTAAATTTTTGTCTGGTAATGTCTTATGGTAATCATAAATCTATTAAGTAATTTGTAGGGATAAATGAATTTCCAATATAGACACCAATTAACCCTGACATTCTCAAACATGTATTGTCTTTGTCGGTTTACGTGAACCTGAAGACAGAATGTCATACATTCACATTACTTGGTGTTTTACTGAACACCTAATAATGTCTTTTCCGAGAACTTCTGTTTTTCACAAACATAGTTGATCATGCAGACCGAAATTCTTTTCTCTCTTAATTGTGATAATTTGGAATGTGAGTAACGGCAGAGGGTGGGGTGAGTCAGCTATCCCATGCGAAATGCTCTCACATGGCTACGTGGATACAGCCACTCACAACGAAGTCCTACTCACACAATTCTCTTCACGGAGGTGTTGTTTATGAAATTGAAAAAACGAAAAGCGAATGTTTGGCGCTTAATCCCGGTTGATGAATACAGAGAGTTCATCTAGAGGAGTTGGAAAACCCTTATTCCAAATCAATGGTGCACAAGGACTCCAGTATCCTGAGGGAACAAAAGGTGTATTGACCTATTATTGGTCACCGGCTACCATGGGAGTGCATCTCCTGACGTTCCTCCACTGCCTTATGGATCAGACCTTTAGGTCGATGGCTCCGCGTACGGCTCTTTAAAAGAACCACCTACTTTGATTCAGGTACCCGATCAGTATCACACCCCACGCACAAATTAAGTGACTTGTGTGTCACATATGTATTCGGTTCTCCTTTGTATCAATATTTATGTTTTCAAATAAGTAAACAACCGTTGAATTTTAAATTCACGTTTGTTATTGAATAGTTAATGTTTATTACTTTTAATTAGTAAATTTGTAAGTTTATTTAAATTTGCATTTTCATGGGGAATTTGACTTCCACTACTTTCTTTTTTCAACTAACATAATTATTAAAAATTACATATAAACTTCTAACTGAATTTAAATTAGCATTAAATTGAACGGACTGCAAAGTAATATTCATTTAAACAATTGGAAAGATTAATAAACATAGTTGAGTTTAAGTTCTTAATTAAGAATTCCCATTTTTATTTACATTCTATGGTTTTGGTCAAATAACCAGTCTCTTGTTGATTGGTGATAAAAGCAATGCTTGATATTCGTGGTTCATTGTTTATAGACATCAATGAGGAATTTGAAATTGACATGAAGTAGACAGAGAATATCCATTTAATATCATCAAATTTCAATCTACTTATTATAATCGACTTAATTCGTCCTGTGATTTAATTTGTCCTTCTGCCACACGTAGTTAAAAGCATTAACGTCTGTGTGATGTGAAAGAATCCAGGTACTTGGATAAATGTTTTCCAGCTTTTACCGTTTTATTTACGATCGTCGCGATGGTGATCAGATTACCGGCCAATTTCTTCTACATAGAGAATCTGTTCGTAAATAGCAGCCATTGTTGCCAAGGCTAAATTTCCTATCTATCTTTATTCTCACTTATTTGTTAACACTTGAACAGTTTACCAAGAATAATAGGCATTAAATTATCAATCAAATAATCCATATTTTAACAATTTTTGCGAACTATTTGAGAATTTCTTTACTCATAATTTGATCTGTTAATTTTTTTAATCATTACCTACACATACAATTTAAAATTCGTAAATACCTTTAATTAACTCACAACCACCAGACTATCACTGTATAACTTGGTCATTACAGTTGATTTTACGATAGAAAATTAACTGAAAGGAAAATGCTGAGTGGAAATGGTGTTGTTTTTTAGTTGACTGTTATACAGCTATTATGATACACTTATAACTATACAAATTATTAGGTTTAAAAGATAACAACAATTTTGTTGCTTAGTTACGTTGTTTACAATGATCTCTTCTTGGGTGTTTAATTTTTGTTATAACTTCATAACATTAAGTTGTTCTTAGAATATTATTCATTTTCAGTTTATTTACGGATGAGGGAGGGGTTCATGTCATTTCTTAAATTCATGTCCATAAAGTAAACAATAGATTTTTATTCGTCTTTAAATGATTTCAAACTGTTTAGTATTAATTTAGTACTGAACTGACTAACCTCATTAGTACATAAATTCCTTGAACGGATGGTTCAGTACTGCCTAGATTTACTTATTGGTTATATTTTGGAGAGTTGCTGATCACTTAACATAATATGTAGATTTAATCCTTGTTTTAACATTGATTGTTACCAAATGAAACTTTCAAATGATTTATGATTCAGCCTACCAATACTCATTTCATATCTTATCTACTGTTCCTGTAAACGCACCGCCAGTATTACTACTAAATTAAACACTATTGATTTACCTATTATTGTTTTCAATGAGAAAGAAAAGAGAATAAAACCATTCTGTTGGTCGAGTTTCAAGTCGTTATTAATGGAAATCAATGTTTAAATTATATAAGATGGTTAGTTTCGTAAGGGAAAATAGAATTAGCATCGATAATGTAATATTTTTTTCTAAATAAGACTTTGTACATATATAAACATAAGAATTTTATTTAAATGATCTAAATTTTATCATTTCACACGGTTTCACAACTATTCTATAATATCCATTCTTCTAAATAACAGTTCATTTGACATTCTCTATGATACAAAGAAACGTTATTAAAGATTTGTTGAATTAATTAATTTGTCATTGTAATAATAATAAAAAGTTCTATACCAAATTCGATAGCCTATATGATAATGTCATGAAGGTCCACAATAGGACATTTTCAAACTTTCTCAGTATAAGGTCGTGGAAGTTGTTGAATTTCATTGAAATTATGAATCAATTTAAGTTAGAACACCATCGGAAACCTGGACCCCCTGAGCGGCCGCTTCGTCCTAGTATGAAACATTCACAAAGCGGTTGATGATTCCAATAAAAATCAAATTTTCTATTAATAGGATACAAGGGAGTGTGGAATACTACTCATTCCAAGCACTTATTACCTTAGAAGTGTATCTCTTTTGACAACAAAATGTTTATTAAAATAACTCTTCAAAAATCATGTATAATAAAATACTATATTTACCTTTAAACTCTCTTCAAGTTCATCACCAACTAAACTTAATCTTGAAACTAATTTACCAGAATTCAATCCTTCATGAAATCCAGGCAGACTAACCGATTGTCGTCGACACATAATATTATCGAATTGAAAAGAGTTTGTTCGAGATTCTCTTACTGTGTGTGACTCATTGTAGTTGTATAAAGTTTCACGTGAATACTAAAATGAAAGAGATAAACTATTAATATAGGTGAATACTTTTCTAAGTTACTGACTTTAAAAAGTGTATAGATGCTAATATCCTTGTATTTTAGTAGGGTGATATGCAGTTAATAATTTAATTGGAAAATAGTTTCAGTCATGGATCTATAACAATTGAAGGATCATTGATAACTGTATCTGAACAAGTTTAAGGAGGGATATCTGTAAAACATCCAAATATAAAATAATCACGAATTTCCTGATGACTAGTCCTGAGGTAAATTTAGAATTTTCTGCTGGGGGGGGGTTAAATCCAAACGGATCGTAAATAGGTTAATTACCCTTGATATGATCGTGTGATGATCCCGCTTTACCTTGAATCGAAGAGAGCTGAAAATGTGAATCACCGGAATTCAACTCAGAGGTTTGTATGTATCCTACTCAATGAGAGACTTAAGATAAATAATTTGGTCCCATATGGTGGGTTCGTGACTAAACAATAAACCAAGGCAGTTGTACAGTACTTCTTGGCATTTATTGGTTTACCAAATGACTTGAGACCATGAAAAAAGATATTCCAAAAGTCTGCAGTTTTGTCTAAAATTTCTGGAAATCAGTTACTGGTTTCTTGAGTATAACGTTAAAAAACGTAATGAATTAGGTACAATTGAATAATTTGATGAGTAAAAATTATTTATAAATCAGTGGGTTTTATAAACATTTAATCTGTACTATGTTATTTTGACTTATTCTTAATTTTTTCATATAATTTTACTTGAACTGTGTTTGAAAGAGTTATATATTTTATTCAAATCAATAAGTCTTTTCTTAGAAACCCCATGACATAGCCAAAGGGTGGGGAGTGTGAGCTCTCTCACGCGAAATGTTCTCACATGGCCACGTGTATACAGCCACTCACAACGAAGTCCTACTCACACAATTCTTTTCACGGAGGTGTTGTTTACGAAATTAAAAGAACGAAAAGCGAATGTCTGACGCTTCATTCCGGTTGGTGAATACGGAGGGTCCATCTAGTGGAGTTGGGAATCCCTGATTCCAAACCAATGGTTCACAAGGGCTCCGGTATCCTGAAGGAAGAAATGACGTATGTACATGTTGGTGGTCACTGGACACCATGGAACTGCATCTCCTGACGTTCCTCCACTGCCTTATGGATCAGACCTCAAGGTCGAAGACTCCAGGTGTGGCTCTCTAAGAGAACCACCTAATTCGATTTGTGCACTCGATCAGTATCACAGGACACACACAAATTAAGTGACTTGTGTGTTACATATGTATTCGGTTCTCCTTTGTACGGATATTTATTTGTTCAAAAAATAGATAAATAAAAACGCTAGACAATTGTTGGATTATGTGTTTAAGCAATAGCCTTTTATGGCTTTGGTCATGTAATTGTCCGTTCTAACTTGTATCTTCGAAATCGGGAATAGTTTAATTTTATTTTTCACCCAAATTTATGATGCATTTAATGCTATCTTTTCAGAACGTGCTTTAGAAATTCGTGCTATTGACAGACATATATTATTGTACTATATGATAACTCATATCCTCAATTTCATCAGTACCTGTATTCAATTTTTACGTTTGAGCTATCGTTTTAGTGTAGGATACTTCAAAAAATCTAGATTAAAAATAATATCACTTTAATACCTTATAACGGGACAAGAGTGTTTTATTTATAGTTGAGATCATGAGTTAATTGAAGCTAGACCATAATGGAAAACCTACCTTAAATTGACTCATGATCTCAACTATTGAAATTACTATAATATCGACAAAACCCCTTCTTATAGTGTTTTATGTTAGACTCATATAAATCTACATCTGTGAAGCTAAGAATTGAATGTTGCTAGAAGAAATGAGACACCAATAAATTTTTAAATTTTTTTTTGAGCGGTTATTATTAATAGATCGTATGATGCTTTATCAATGTTTATAGTATTCTAATACTTGATCATACATTTTTTCTAATCCAATAGCATACGAAACACTTACTTTTGATTTAAAAAAGTGTTCGTGTATGGAATATAATACATGTTTTCTGGAAAACTTAATTATGCTTTACGGATCTTGATGTTAGTTGAATATCTGTTTTTCTGACGGAAGATTTATAAACTTAGCAATCATACTATATATGATAGAGGGATGACTATTAAAGTTATCATGAAAATAAAGTCGTTATGAGGAATTCTGTAGTTCTCTTATTTATCATTGTCCAACTGTGATTAGAAATTTCCAATGTCAACCAGTTTTTTTTTGTTTCATTCCAATCAAAACGTCATACGCCTGCTCTTCTTGTGGTTACTGGAAACACAACTGGTGGGACTTAATTAAATCAACTGTCTTATTATGTTTGTTGTTCAAAGAATATTCGGAAACAGCATTCAAGCGTATAATTGTTATTCTAATCTGGTCACAAATTCAGTTGAACAGTTTGGTGGTTATCCAAAATTTACCTGTAGAAACTTTATCGAGAACTCAGGCTTTTTTATTCTGTTAAGTGGCGATACTCATAAACATGGAAGCTTTAAATTCCGGATTGATTAGAGACTTGAAAGTAATTTAGATTAAATGTGAATAGTTTATTCTTTTTAACGCATATGAGTTTAGTCAAGTGATTGTTGAAACTAATACATGATTATGTATATCTCAGTATTGAACCAATTAAGATTCCTGTCAGAAATATTTTACACTTTTTCCTATCATTAGCGAATAACGATAGATTTACCATGTGTTATTTCAAATATATAGTCATTTAATCCAAATAAATGGTCTGTAATTTAATCATATATAATGCCTGCTAATAATTGCATAGTTAAACACTAATTTATTATTTGATGAATTCGTTTTATTCTCCGGCAATTTTGAAACTGGTGCCTTGTCCGTTCACAATCAAAGCATTTTGTTAATTCTTTCAATGTTATGTATTTCCATGGTGCTGTATAAGATATTTGAGGTAGGTCAACAAAAATAATAGGGTAATTTAATCAAGAACTACTATGTTGAAAAACTTGATTCAGAATGAAATACTCATTTCTCCTCATTTCACTTTCGCCTTGTTAAAATATCATTGGATGCTAGTTACCTTTAAGTGTTTAACACAGATTTTAGTATGGTAAGGTATTGATTGACTGAACTTTGTACTAAATATGCACATCACGTCCATATGATCGCATATATATTCAGTTATTTTAAGTGTTACTTACTACTTTATAGATGACGGTTCACCAAAACTACTTGCTCACTAAGTGTATAAATGCTGTATGTTAATGATATGATTTGCCTTTTATTTTCAATGAAAGGAACTGTGTATCAAAACTCTCTAGATAAGGGTTTCTTTGAAATCATATACAGTATGGAATTATAAATCAATGAATAATTTTATCATCAAAAATTGTATTAAATATCACATTTATTGGTTTCTTGTCTTGTTTTCGAGTAACTTTACTTCTGTAAAGACGAGTCGAAATGACGTGCATCATAAAGATGTGATTCAATAGGGTGAATATCAAATAAGGTGAATTTCATGAGAACGAGCATCAAAAGGAGGCACATGAAAAGCAAGTAGCATTTAATTTCGAAATGACCTAATTGCTAGCCACAGAAAACGTACAGATGTTCAATGAAGTTACAATAATTAGTTCAAGTGAAATCGTAATCAGATTGATGAACTAGTAACTATTATTTTGTAAATGGATTATTTTATTTTTTATGCCTTTCTGAAATGGAGTTAGGGTACATAAAAAGTAACAAAGAAGGTTTGTTTTAATATTTTACTGTTTCCGAAAAGAGAACGTACTTAATGATGAGAATTCGTGATTTACGAAATACCATGTAACAAAGTGTAAGTTGCGCTGTTAGACGAACTGTGAATGTACTTAAGAGAAGGTAACAGAATATAACTACGTTTCTGAAAAAGCTAAGGTAGATGCAAAATGCGCAGTCAGCATAATAAAAGATCGAACTTTTTCAATAGAAGTAACGCATCTGATTGTACCTATGGCATCTACTGGTTCTTTGGATGGGTGTTAACTCAACTACTGCCTGTGGTGCGATGGAGCATAAAGTTTGTCATGGCCTTCAATTAAATTTACCAAATCTAAACTCAGATGATACATCAACAAGCTTGTCGGAATAGGAGCCGACTGCGAGAGGTGGGTGTTTCCTTCTGAATGATAGGAGATCAGATGGAGAACTAATTTTTATATTTCTACAACTAAAAATATGGAATTGTTAGGGGGATGTCGTCATTGATATCTTTTTGCAATATGCAAAATATCTCCGTATTTGTTCATACAGATCTACACTGTTTACACTATGACGTTTTATCTCGTTGACTTATTGTTTATCAATATAACAAGCAACAGAAGTTCTAATTCGTACGTGCACATATTTAAGGAATTAAATAAACTAAAATTAACTTTTAATCAATCAATTATTATGACTGATTGCAAACATTCAACCAAATTGGTATTTCAAATACAGTACAACAAGGTTATTCGTCCCATCTAAGCCAATGTATATAGCTGAGGCTACAGCAACCATTTAACCATCAACAACGTTATGCTACAGATCAACATTATACTTTACACGTTCAGCAGTTACAAACGTTTGCTTTTTTCCGTCTTCAGAAGTTAGAATTACATGTGACTGTCAAATGGGGTCACTATTCTTGTAAAAAAAATGAAAAAATAAGGGATAACAAATTACTCCGAAGACAATCGGCTTAGGAAACCTACATCATGGAGAGACCTCAACCGATTTACTTTCTGAATTGTACCGTGCAACGCCAACAGTTTTGGGTGTAGTCAACTCATTGAATACCTTCATTTTAGCATTTAGAAAGAAGGAATAATGCTGAATGAGTTGAACTTTGGATATTTCGTCCCATGAATCCAACTACAGTACGAAAATAAGAAGCACAATGGCTTAGCAAAGCACATTAAACTGGTTTTAGAAGACTATAGGAACAGAAAATTGCCAGAATATTCACGTGGAATAGCACTCAGTTTGAGTTTAGACATTTAGACATTAAAATGTGCTATAAAGTTAAGAAATGTAAATAAGATTTACATCTGGATTATTAGGTCACCTTTGTGATGGTTGCTCTTGTATGGGTCATCTTTCATACCCACTCTTATTGATACTTGTCCTTTTGTATGTGCCCTTGTTGAAGGATATCTCAGTGATACTACTAACGCAAAGTAAATAATCGTATCAGTATACTACCTTGATTACTTTTTTTAGAAGAAAATATTCATACAGACAAAGTTTAACTAACCTCAATTTCATTTGATATATCATTAGGATTCATAATATATAATTCATTGGATGATTGAACAGCTGATAAACTTATTTTCTTCTTATATTCTGAATCTTTTGATGTTTTTCTTGAAGAAGATGCAGACCAAAAATCTTCATCATCTGAATAACTAGTATCTATTGTTGATAAAGATGATGAACGTCTTCGTCGAAATACTGACCGTTGTGTAGTCATTGATAAAATACGAATTAAAATCAAATACACTGTATTCATATAATAGAAATCGAATTGAGATTATGTTTTTACAGTATAGTTATTTACCACCATAATTAATAGAAATTCAATTAAATATATTCAATTGTTAATAATTAATATGGCATAATAAATGTCTATGAAAATAATCTCCAAGTAATACTTCACTATAATGTTTAAAGGTAAACTACTATTAAAAAATATCTTCTACTTATTGACTCATAAGCAGTTTATTTTTATGATAAAATTTAACGGGCGATAAATAGACAGGTCATAGAGATAATTGTATATCCTAGTTATCAGCCTATTGGTTTATTCTTTTGACAATACAATCAATTGTACATATGTGCTCTTTTATTAAGCCTTAGTGATTTGTACTTATATTGATATGAAAAAAGTAGCAACTAAATTAATGTCACATTTATACATCTATTCTTTGATCTTATTTTATTCAGAATTTAATCCTTGAACTTTAAAATGAAAGAAGGGGAATTGTCCTTAAACAAAAAAAATAAGCTTTTTTACCCTCCTTGAGTTAATAAATATCATTCTGGATAATAAATCAATAATGACATTAGATAATGAATTATTTTATACCCCATGTATCCTATTAGTAATGTTATACGATTAGTAGTACTGTAGTGAAGGAGAACACAGGTGAGGACAACCGAATTATCTTTAACACAACATTACATAGTTACTTGGTAAAATAGCAAAACCATACTATAATACCTAATTTGCAAAATGTTCAATAATTGTCTCGAACTTCGTTGTTCTTGCATTTCCATACTAATTGCTTTCTATTCCCGTTCTTCCTTTCTTGGTCTTTCCCATCTTCTGCTGCCAGACATTACATTCCTGACTCGCGTTATATACTACTTGTAACAATATAAGTAGCACGCACCACAGTACTTATAACTTTTCGGATGATTTGTTAAAACAGATAACACAGTAATTCTGGGTGCGACTTGTTTTATATAACGTTTTTTTAAAATTTTATTGTAAGCTTTCAATGGAATTAAGCGACTTATTAGGTTTTGGATCTAGAAAATTGGTTGATGATTATTGAGTCTCAATCGATATAGTCATTATGGGAAACAACTTATTTACCTACTTTATACCAACATACTAAGAGCACCTTTAAAGGCCAATGCTTAATACATTGATATGATTATCACTAGTATAAAAAATAAATTATACAAGTCGATCAGGAGGTTTTTGTTTGTAATCGTTTAAGCAAAATATACATTTGGACAAGATCGTACTATTGCATTTTACATGGTAGAATAATATTGTTCGAAGTGTCTTGTTTTATATCAGAGATTTTTATCCACACTAGTCTGTTGATAATGGAACATTGTCAACATCAATGTATACATTAAACTCTACTCCATATCTTAAAATGATCAGACAACTGTTGAGTGTATGCTTGTTTTTTGACTTTATTTATATCCTATAGAAGCTTTTTTATCTTGAAGAGGATCGTACTAAACTGTCAAGTGAAATTTCGGGTTAGTATATTTTAATTTAATTATTGAATTCATGAGTCGATTGAAGCTAGACCACCATGGAAAACCTAGAACTACTGAACGGCTGTTTTATCCCAGTTTGGGACTCCTCAGCAGTGCACAGCCATGATCCATATGGTGCATCTTTTTTTATACACCAAACGCTCAACAATTGTGAAATTACTCTTTTAGATCCGATGGGATGGTATTTCAGTTTGTTATATTAATCATTCATAAAAAACCAAATCAGTCACATACATCTTTTAAATGAACAGATATTACAACACAATACAACGGACTATCCAAACCTATTTATTTAAAGTAACTGGTTTATATGCAAAAAGATCTACCACAAAATTTAAACTATGCCTAAAGATCATTTCAATACAAAGGACCATGAGAAATAGGATTTTGTGAATCACACAAATGAACTAATAATTTTGAAACTTTGGTGACATTTATGATCTGGGATTCTATTTTTGATTCATCAAAGATTTAGTTTTACCATTATGGTACAAACAAAAGATTTCGAATTTAATTATTAATAAAGTTATATATATATATATTGTGGTGTCGATTATTATGTTAAGCCCATATACCTTATTCTAGCTTTGGACAGCCCATTCTATTCATTCTACTTGAGTCACGTTTTGACCTTGTTAATTACTCGCTTATCAATCTTGACTGTTTTTATATGAGCTCATATGTGTGTGTACATTTCTTATCCCATTACTCGTCACATGTCTGTAACCTACTTTTGTGCGACTATAAATATTGATTAACGTTTGGTTAAATGGGGATTAGCTTACCCGCCATCTCCACTACCAGCCGTTTCTCTTCTCTCTATTCCATTCGCTTCATATACATTCTCGTTATTTGACTTATCTAAATCCGTTATTGACTAATGCGAATAAAGTCGATGATTATATACGAGGATAGGCGACATACATATCTCAACAATAATCATCATTATGATCTCCTTGAAGTCAGATCTCGGGCCACTAAGGTGGAGAGCCCTTTCGACAACATCGTCCGGTCTAAATGACGATTAAAATAGCGGGCCCCCACAATATATATTCTACTTTTACAAGAATCTAAGATTTAAACCGATAGATTTTAGAAGAACAAGATTTCATCAAAGACATCATCGTCATCATTGTCATAAATTTCTTAATAATTGAGTTACCAATAATTTACAAAAAGAAAACAGAATTCATGATCAAAATATTTCCAATATTTTCTATGCATGAATTGGATATTGTAATGCAGTATATGTAAACTATTTTTATACAGTGATTACATACGTACATTTTTTTAAAAAATTGGCTACCTAGATTGTGTACAGCTAGTGTGAATATAACGTAAGAAAGTAAGCGAAACTAATTTTCAAAAAATACTATTCTAATTTGTGTTTGATTAAATTACAGGAAATAAACACAAATACATCTTCAATTAACGCATTAAGTAGATGCAATTGACTACCACTCACTGAGAGAAGACAGTTAAGTGGTCACAGTGAATACATTTGTGGTGTATGGTACTTATGTTGGCAGATGTAAGTAGTATGTAACGCCAATCAGAAGTGAGATGCTTGTCAAAAGAAGATTGAACTGAAGAGAACAGAAGGGAATTGGAATAAAAACAGAACTGAAAGGATCATGAAGTATGTGAAGGACAAGTGAAGGAAGATATTCACATAATTTATTTAATGCACGATTTTCACACTTTACTTAATCACTATGTTATTGTGCATTAAACAATAAACTTATCTTCCCCACCTGTGTTCTCGTTCACTGCATATTGACCAGAGACAGAATTAGTCATTTCACATTACATTTTAAATCAGTCGACCTAAGCTATATAAACACAGGCGCTGAATTTCTTTATCTTACATATTTTGTTTCTTATCTAAAACTTGATAAATATTTTTCTTTGATTTTCTAATTGACTATTTCCCGCACCACGCGGGATCGTGGACACGCACTACTGAGGAGTCCCATACTAGGACGAAACGGCCGTCCAGTGCTTCCAGGTTTTCAATGGTGGTCTAGCTTCAACTGACTCATGATTTCAATCTGTGAAAATTTCTAAAAATCTCCACAAACCCCTTCTGATATTTCCTAAGTGACAATTAAAGATGAAACTTCTATGGAATTAGTTTTACAGATTTATGAACCATGTAGAAATATTGTTTTTATTATTTCGCATTCTGAATTCAATCTCCAATGCATACATTCACAAATAAATGAGTCATAATTCGTGAATAGTGGCAAACGGTCTACCATTACGAATCATCAACTATCAAATTTAAACATTAGCATTCACCCCTGTTAAAACTCTTGATTGAATGTAAAATTTCCAACTTAAATTGACAATTACTTGTTCTTTATGTTACACTTACATTATGTCATTAAGTTGTCACTAATCACAGTAATTGTTTAACAGCATGTTAACAGTTTGACGTTGAAAAACAAAGTTCTATTTCTTCAACGAATATTTAATTTCAGCTACCAGTTTGATCAATAAATGATATCCTACAAGGTCATTAATTCATTCATTGCTTATATACAAACAAACCAACACGTCAATCACCTGAACTAAGTCATAATAACTAAACTTGAATGTCCTACTAAATTATAAGAAAAGCAATTATCTATTCATTTAAATATTGACTGACCGTTAATAAATGAAATTATTTAGTTATCATTAACCAGTTAGTTCTCATCAGTTTGGTTAATTCAATAAAATTTGGAAAGTCAATCGAAATGATGAGTTACTTCTGACGATATTTTATATAAGTTACGAATGTCTAAAGATAAGATTTTTTACAATGGGTATAATCAAATGACAGTTCCTCGAACTGATTTTCTTTCCTGAAGATAGTTATCTTCTAAAAATATAGTCTTATAAATTAATGTGGTTACGATCCTTTTTTCTTATGATCCCTTTGGTGATTTGTAAGAGATTTTAATGACTTAAATAGTGGCCATACGTTTTAGACTGATATTTAAGGAAGTGGGAACTATTGACAAGGGTTTGTATGTTATATAAATATTTTGTTCTGGATCAACTCATAATGAGTGTAAGGATACACAGAACAGGTTTACTTGATTGAAAAGCAATCAAATAAGGTATGATAATGATTGGAAAACCATCGAATTGGATTAATTTGAAAAACAGACTAGTAGATAGACTCAATGGTATTAAAGCTTTAATCAGTATGACTTTTCAGTTCTCTCTATGAATTGTTTTGAATGTGTTAAGCATTAAAGCTTCTCATTATTTTTGAATAAGCTTAATCCAAAATGCGACTGATGTTCAGCAGATGTAGATTTCCAAAATAAGAAACTGTAAGACCGAATTAAAACAATTCTTTAACCAAAAAGAATAGATTTTTTGTCTTTTACATTAGAAAAATCACTAATCGGAAACAGATTAGTCATAGACAATTACTAAATAAAATCTCTAAAGGATTCATGTCAAAAATCCTTGGACCCTCAAAAATTTTGTTTT